CACACACACGCACACACACACACACACACACACACACACACACACACACACACACACACACAACACACACGCACACGCACACAACGACATGTCACCAAACTGACCCCCCCCCGCCGCCCCCCGCCAGACGGACAGGACGGACCCCCAAAGCGGGACGGCGAAGCGGTATCAAAATTGACACACCACCACACCCCTCGCAGGACAAGCCCTTTCCACCCCCCCCCCCCCCACGCGATCCCCCCCCCCCACGCTTAGTAAGCGATCCAGAGCAGCCACGAAAGAGAAAACGCGGTGCCCCCCACTCCAGCATAGTCACGCCGCGCGACATCAGCAAAGGGCACACGATCGGCAACACGGCCTCGCGCAAAATCGGCCCAAATCTCTACGCACGAAGCGGGAAGTCGCGCGGCGGCACGGCGGCGCCGTCTGCCCCAGCCTTCTTGAGCGCCACAAACCTGACGCTGGCTGCGGGCCAACCCGCAATTGGCGCGCCGCAGTGCGGCTTGATACCTTCCAGACTCCACATGCTTTGCTCTCTCTCTCTCTCTCTCTCTGTTTCTCTCTCTCTCTCTCTCTTTCTCTCTCTCTCTCTCTCTCTCTCTCTCAGCGTCCTCCTCAAGCGCGTGCTTGTTGATGAGCGCCACGCCAGCCCTGAGCTCCTCGTTCAGGGCATCCGCCAACGAGCGCGCAATACTGCCGCACGCAACAGGAGCAGCAGTCCTCGCAGACCGACGGACACGGAAGCCCAACAGACGTGATACCCTGGAGGGCGGTTGATCAAGAACCGAACTGTTTCCCTCACGGATCAGGGGCCTGGGCGGAACGCTGGAATTAGGGGCTTGCTGGTGCACAGCTGGATCGCCGCCATCGTGTCCATAAGGTGGTTGGCAAAATAAATAATTATCAGCATCTCACAGGTTCCGTCTCCCAAGGCGTGAACGCGCGCACCCCAATGTGGCATGATCGGGCAACGGCCCTGGCGGGCGAATCGCCGCGGGCAACTCTTGAATGTGCCCACTGGTGATCAACTCCCTAACCCGACTTGCGCTGCCGAGCTCTGGTACGGACTCGTGGCACGATCATGGCGACAGCCTTCTGGTCCTGAGCGCTGCGGCATGCATTGCCCACGAAGCCACGTAGAGATACGGGCTCGTTGATATCGTCAACGGAATTGCGCAAGCACTACGGTGTATCAAGCAAGCTGAATGCCCAGTATTTGCCTCCGCACGCCACCATAGCAGCATCGAGAGAAAGGAATGAGAGGGGAGAGCAGGAAGGAAAAGACGAGAAGAAGAGAAGCGCTGGAAGAGAAGGAGTAAGTGTTTCTCGTGTTAGGGTGCATTTGATCAATTTGGTGAAGTTTCTGTACTCATCTGGAGGCCCCGCCCCTTCTGACAGCAGAGTGGACGCAACGCGCACTGGTATTGAATCTGACTGAGTCTACAATCGAACTTCACACCCATCACCTTCCTCCTTGATCTCTGAACCCCAAGCGTTAGGGATTACGTTTGCCTGCGCCCCAAGTGCATACCCCCATGTGTACCGTATGTGTATGTGTGAACATACATATCTCTATATATATCTCTCTATCTCTTTCCCTCTGCACGCCACTGGCATGTAGCTTTCGCAGTTACGATTAAGTCAGATCGACTCTTGAATATCACCTGGCTTTACGATCTGATACCTAAGAATGCGACACATTTGCATGATGCCCGCCGAGCAAATGAAGCCCGCACTACACGAAAGGCCGTCGTTTCTGAGATGTCTGGCAAAATATCCCTGCACTCTTGGATCTAAGATCTTCGAACCAAATGAGATTCAACATTCAATATGCTTTAATCACCGATCCTCCTTGATCATCCTCTTCCCGTCCTCCACCTCCTCCTCATTCTCCTCCCTCCTCCGCCTTCCTCCTTCTCCCTCTCAGAAAAAAAGCGGAGGGGAGATAGAGCAAGAGAGGGAAAGAGGGAGAGGAAGAAGAGAGAGAGAGAGAGAGACACGCCGAGACAAAGCAATAATGACAGAGGAAAAGAGAGGGTGAGAGATACACATGCTGGTCGCGGGCAAACGATAGAACTTGTGGGTAGCATTAACGATATACTTAAGAGCATGGGGAAGCCGTAACGGCGAGCATCCGGCTGTTGATTCGGCGCGGGTGGAGGGGCGGCCACTTCCAGTCAGAAGTGGGAAAGCAACCCTCGGTAAGGGGGTCGAGATCACCAGAGAGCCACGTCGTGACAAGACCCCAGCGCCGAAATGCGGGCCTCCCCCTCCGCATCCCCCTCCACCTCCCACTCCACTTCTCATCTTCCTACTTCTCTTCCTCCTGGTACTCCTCCTACTCCTCCTACCCCTCCTCCTCCTCCTCCTGATCCTCCTCCTCATCCTCCTCGTCCTCCTCCTCCTCCTTCTCATCCCCCCCTCCTCTTCCTCCTCCTCCTGCTCCTCCTCCTCCTCCTCTTTGTCCATCCTCTTCCTCCTCCTCCTCCTCCTCCTCCTCCTCCTCATGCTCCCTCCCTCCAGCTCCTCCTCATCATTCCCTGAGAGCATCACAGAGGTCCCTGAAGGTCCCTGGAGATCTCCAGCGGCCCAGAAACCTTGCGAAACTGAATCATTATCCCAATCCTCCCCCTCCTCATTCTCCTCAGCAGCAGCGCAGCAGCAGCAGCAGCATCAGCATCATCATCAGAAGCAGCAGCAGCAGCAGCAGCAGCAGCCATCATCATCATGGTCAGCATCATCATCGCCACCACAACCGCAATCATCCTCACCGTCATCATCATCCTCACTATCATCATCGCTCACAACAACAGCAGCTGCAGGAGATACAACAACAGCAGCAACAACAACAACAACGACAACGACAACGACGACGACGACGACAGCGACGACGACAAAGACAACGACAACGACAGCGACAACAACAAGGATAACGACAACGACAACAATAACAACAAGAGCAACAACAACAACAACAACAACAACAACAATAACAACAACAACAACAACAGCAGCAACAGCAATAGCAATAGCAACCTCAACAACAACAATCATTGTAAGACTCTTCGCTCGCGTGCCATTCAACACGTATACCCCAAACCCTTGATACCCGCCCTTGGGGGTGCATCTTTCTTACCTACAACGTGTTTTTCGTGCAGCCTGTACGGCAGGGGAAAAGAGGACGGGTGGAAGGAAGGGAAAAGGGAAGGGAGGAGGATCGAGCACGAGAGAAAGTAGCAGGAGGGGGTCCAAAGCGAGAGCGTGATTCCTGAGTGTCGAGGGCGCGGCGCCAGGATAATTGCGAGGAAGTCCCACGCGAGAGCACGATGCCTGCATAAAGTGTGAGGACGTCCCGCGCGAGAGCGCGATGTGGGAAGAACTTACGAGGAAGTGTCAGGCGGGAGCTGTTGTTATTGTAATTCGGGATCCAAGGGCGCAGTTTTGTGACGCCTCGCCTTCCCCTTGTATATATATATATGAATAGAACAAAAAATGAGAAGAACAAAAAAAAAAAAAACGTGCGTGCCCCGGAAGAATCACTTTAATAGAAAAATGTGGTGCTTACCAGGCAGGGGGGATGAACGACAATCATTCCGGGCAGGGGGGATGAACGACAACTATTCTCTTGAAGCGAGAATTCAACAACAACAACAACAGCAGCAACAACAGCAGCAGCAGCAACAGCAGCAGCAGCAACCGCGACAGCAACAGCAACAGCAACAGCAACAGCAACAGCAACAACAACAACGACAACAACAGCAACGACGACGACAACAATCAGATCATCACCACCATCATCATAATCACAAGCATAATCATCATCATCATCATCATCATCATCATCATCATCATCATCATCATCATCATCATCATCATCATCACCATCATGATCATCATCATCGTCATCATCATCATCATCATCATCATCATCATCATCATCATGAGCATCATCATCATCATTATCATCATCATCATCCTCATCTACATCCTCATCAACAACAATAACGCTATATTATCATCACCATCATCATCACCAACTTCATCATCATCATCATCGACATCGGCATTGGCATCGTCATCATCAGCAGCATCATCTGCATCATCATCATTATCAGCAGCAGCATCATCAGCATCAGCACTATCATCATCAGCAGCAGCATCAGCAGCAGCATCACCATCATCGTATCACCATCATCACCATCAGCAGCAGCATCATCAGAATCATCATCATCAGCATCATAATCATCATCGTCATTGTCGTCGTCGCGTCGTCACAGTCGTCGTCGTCGTCATCATCATCATCGTCATCATCATCAGCAGCAGCATCATCATCATCGTCATCATCATCATTATTATCATCATCTCCCCCTGGCTTCAAAGCCCTAATGCCACCCCCAGGACGTTATCCACCTTGCTGTGGCGCAGGGAGGGAGCAAGGTGGGCCTTCAGGTTTCTGAGCCGCAACTCTGGGGGGGCTACAGAGCATCGCGCTGCTGGCGAGGGTTGCCCCGAGTATTACACCCCCTTGTAAGCCCTCCCCCATCCCCCGTCCCGTGAAATGCATAACAACTTCTGCTGTCGACTCGCTCTGGAGCCGCCGGAGCTACCATGAGTTCGTCAGAGTCATCTGGATATCTCTGCATGCACCTCCATCTGTGTGGATCTGCAATGACTCACACAGAATTGCCTCAAGCTGCCTGCAGTGATTCCTGCAGGGGTGGTTGGAGAAGAGCAGTCGAGCCCTTAAGGACTGTGAGGAGGCACTCGTGAAGGTCCTCGTAAGAACGATTCAGAGCTACGAAGCCACATTCACGAGCCAATAAGCCAGATTTGCCCATATGCCCATATTAAGACCAAGATGACGCAATCGGATCACACTGGATAAAGCCCACTCAATCAAGCAGGATTATACCAGATTTGGCCAATTTTCGACCACGGACATACCAGCGCCGATGTTGAACTTATCCTCCCAGCAGTTCCATCCTACGAACTGGGCGTGCCTTGTCCGAGATCTCGCTCACCAAATCGAACGCCGCCTCGATGCCGTCATCGTCGACCGGGGCCCCGGAGTTTATGGCGTCCTCTCGCAGTGCCCGCACGGGTCGGTCGGCCGCGCCCTCTGTTCTCGGTCCGCCCCTCCCCCAGGCCCCCCGCTGACGTTCATCCTGCTCCGCCCCCCGCCCTTCCCCTTGTTTCTCTCCTGGCCCTCCTACTCCTGATCCTAAAACTTCCTCTTCCTCCTGCTCCTCCGCCTCCTACTCCTCCTCCTCCTCCTCCTCCTCCTCCTCCTCCTCCTCCTCCTCCTCCTCCTCCTCCTCCTCCTCCTCATGATCATCATCATCATCATCATCATCATCATCATCATCATCATCATCATCATCATCATCATCATCATCATCATCATCATCATCATCAGCAGCAGCAGCAGCAGCAGCAGCATCATCGGCATCATCATCAGCACCAGCATCATCATCATCAAAATCAGCAGCAGCAGCAGCAGCAGCAGCATCATCGGCATCATCATCAGCACCAGCATCATCATCATCAAAATCAGGATCAGCATAATCATCATCAACATCAGGGTCCTCATCCTCATCATGAGCACCATCGTCATCATGACCATCCTCATCATCATCAGCATCATCAGCATCATCATCGTTACCGTTATTGAGCATGACCACCATTATCATCATCATCATCATCATCATCAGCAGCAGCATCATCATCATCATCAGAAGCAGCATCATCATCACAACATCATGATTATCATAATCACAAGTATCATCCTCGTCATCGCAATCAGCAATATCCGCCGGCCCCCTTGCGGGGCCATCAGGCTGCGAGGATTAGGGTTGCTGCTCCCTGCACCAGTTCCAGTTTCCAGTTTCCATTGTTACAGTACTGATTTCTGCTTCCTACTGTAATTTGTTACTGTCCGCGCGAGGGGGGGGAGCCGAAAAGGACCCTGGTTAGCAACCCCCGGGAGGGTTCTCAGAATGTCTGGGGGGGGCGTAGGACACGTAAAAATACGATAGTTTCGTGCCCCCCAAGCCATAATCCCTAGCAAATTACACTATATTCGCGCCCCCGAGGCCACGATCCCTCGTAAATTACACTGCGTTCGCGTCTCCGAGGCCACGATCCCTCGTAATTTACACCACATTTGCGTCTCCGAGGCAACGATCCCTTGCAAATTACTCCACATTCGCGCCCTCGAGACCACGATCCCTAGTAATTTACACCACTTTCGCGCCCCCGAAGCCACGATCCCATATAATTTACATCATGTTCGCGCCCCCGAGGCCACGATCCCTAGTAAATTACGGCGAATTCGCGCCCCTGACCCCACGATCCCTTGTAAATTACGCAGCGGGCGCGCCCCCGAGACCACGAATCCGCCTTGCGGAGGCTGCCGAAAAGGCGCTCCCCCTCTCCAAAACAGAAAAACGGTAATTATCTGTGTTGGGATCTGTGCTCCGCTGGTATTATTTTGCCCCCCCCGTTTCTGCAAAATTCGGCGGTGGGTTCCACATTCACCCCCCCAGGCCACGATCCCTCGCAAGTTACGCCACATTTGCGCCCCCGAGGCCACGATCCCGCGTGAATTACACCACATTCGCGCCACCGAGGCAACGATCCCTCGTAAATTACGCCGCTGTCGCGCCCCCCAGGCCACGATCCCTCGCAAAGTACGCCACATTCGCGTCCCCGAGGCCACGATCCCTTGCAAATTACACCAAATAAGCTGCCCAAAGGCGCCACTCCTTCTCCAGAGCAGAAAAAAATACCTTCCCAAAGATTGCCTGAAGCAATCCCCAGCCGTTCCCAGAGCGCTTCCAGTGAACAACTGGAGGAAAATGCCAAGAAGGCAACAAAGCGTTCAACAACAACTGCAACATCTCAATCTGTTTTGCTCATCGGCAGCCGCCCTAGCATGACGTTCCCGAATGCCATCAAGACGGCATCCGAACATCCGAATATAGCTCTGATGTATCCCATTATGATAGAGAGGGGGCCGGCGGCAGGGGGCGAAGCCCTTACGGATAATACGAATGCTCAGAATCAAAATAACAACAGTCAGACGAATGCTATAATATTACAGCAGGTAATACTGGTAGTACTAAGGTTAGTCTTTAAAACCACAATGGGAAGTTATAAAACTGAACATACTGATGATAATAATAGAGCTAGGAATAATACTGGTAAGAAAATAGCACTACGAATGTGAATACAAAACACGATTAGTAAGTAGTGATGATGATGCTGATGATGATGACGATGATGATGGTAATATTTAACATCAGCATCACCACCATCATCACCATCATCAGCAGCATCAGCATCAGAATCATCACCGTCGTCGTCATCGTCATCGTCATTACCATCGTCGTCATCCACCCTCCCGCCCGCCCGCCCGCCCGCCTCCTCCTTCTCCTCCCTCCTCCCCATACCTCCACCACATCGTCCTCCTCGTCTTCCCCCTCTCCCCCTGATCTTGATCCTCCTCCTCCTCCCTCCCCCCTCCTCCTCCTCCGTCATCCCCCTCCCCCTTCTCCTCCTCCTCCTCTTCCTCCTCCTCCTCCTCCTCCTCCTCCTCATCCTCCTCCGCCGCTTCCTCCTCCTCCTCATCCGTCCTCAGATTCCTCCTCATCCTCCTCATCCTCTTCCACCTCCTCCTGCTCATCCTCCATCCCTTGTCCATATGAATCCGCCACCGTGCCTCGAGGCACGAAGTGGAGTTACCCTAAGGCTCTCATGTGTTCTCTGTCCTGAACCCTGGATTCTAGTAAGGGGCCCCGATTATGCATTTCCAGACTGTCCAGGCTCCAGTCAGCAGAGCGGCGCTCTGCTAACTTGCCTCAAAGCATGCGCACTCGCTGCTCCTCCCCTCATTAGCAGAGCGCTGCTCTTCTAATTGGCCTCAAAGCAGGGTTCCCCATCCTGATCGGGCTCTGATTAGGAGAGCGCCGCTCTGTTAATTGGCCTCCGAGCATGTGCGCGTGCAGTACTCATCCTCCCAATAGCAGAGCGCCAATCTGCTTATTTGACTCAGAGCACGCGCAATCGCTGCTCATGCTTTATTCACCCGAGGGCCCCAAAATGGAGCAAGAGGGCCCAAGAGGGTCCGAGGGGCCTCCAAGACGGCCCCAGAGCGCTCCAAGACGCCCAGCCCAAGATGGCCCCAAGACGGCCCAAGAGGCCCCGCAGAAGCCCCAAGAGCGCTCGAAGAGGACCTCCAAGAGGGCCCCAAGATGCGACAATCACGTCTGTCCCTTACGTGTGTGCTTCAATGTGTTTTCGCGTTCTCGCGTTTTCGGGCTTCCGACGCTCCAAGGTTGCCCCAGAGGCCCCAAGACCGCCCCAAGACGGCCCAAGAGGCCCCCAAGAGGGCCCCGAGACGGCCCAAGAGGGCCCAAAGATCGCCCCAAGATCGCCCAAGAGGCCTCCAAAATGGCCCCCGAACGGCCCAAGAGGCCCCCAAGACTGCCCCACGAGGGCTCCAAGACGGCCCACGAGGCCTCCAAAACGCCCAAGATGGCCTCCAAGACGGCCTGGAGCACCCCAAGAGGGCCCCCAAGTCGGCCCAGAGAGGCCCCCAACACAGCTTCCGACGGCATCAGACGGGCCAGGAGCCCACCAAGACGGCCCAAGGTGGCTCTAAGATGGCCCAAGACGGCCCAAAAGGCCCCCAAGAGGTCTCCAAGACGGCCCAATATGCTTCCAAGAGGTCCTCCAGGAAGGCCCAAAGAGGCCCAAATGATTGATTTGCCTTACTTAGGTGCTTGAAGGGGTTTGGCATTTGCTTATGTTCGGCCTTCCGACGGTTCGAGACGGCCCAAGAGTCGAGAAAGATCGCCCAAGAGGCCTCCAAAATGGCCCCAGAACGGCCCAAGAGGCCCCCAAGACTGCCCCACGAGGGCTCCAAGACGGCCCACGAGGTCTCCAAAACGCCCAAGATGGCCTCCAAGACGGCCCTGGAGCACTCCAAGAGGGACCCCAAGTCGGCCCAGAGAGGCCCCCAACACAGCTTCCGACGGCATCAGACGGGCCAGGAGCCCACCAAGACGGCCCAAGATGGCTCTAAGATGGCTCTAAGATGGCCCAAGATGGCCCAAAAGGCCCCCAAGAGGTCTCCAAGACGGCCCAAGAGGTCTCCAAGAGAGCCTCCAGGAAGGCACAAAGAGGCCCAAAGTATGAATTCGCCTTAGATATTTGAAGGAGTTTGGCATTTGCTTATGTTCGGCCTTTCGACGGCCCGAGGCGGCCCAAGAGCCCAGAAACATCGCCCAAGAGGCCTCCAGGATGGCCCAAGAACGGCCCAAGGCCCCCAGACCGCCCAAGAGGCCTCCAAGACGCCCAAGATGGCCTCCAAGACGGCCCTGGAACACCCCAGGAGGGTTTTATGAAGTCGGCCCAGAGAGACCCCCAAGACGGCTGCCGACGGCTTCATACGGGCCGGGAATGCCCTGAGACGGCTAAAGAGGCCCCCGAGAAGCCCCCTAAAGGCCCCCAAAAGGCCCAAGGAGACCCCCAAGATGCCCCCAAGAGGCTCACAGGAAGCTCCCAGGAGGCCCCAAGAGTGCCCCCAGAGGCTCCCAAGATGCCCCCTCCTCCACTCCTCCTCCTTCTCCTCCTCCTCCTCCTCCCCCACCTCCTCCTCCTCCTCCTCCTCCTCCTCCTCCTCCTCCTCCTACTCCTCCTCCTGATCGTCCCCGCCATCCTCCCCGAAACGTTCCCCGAAGGGTTTCCACAACGGCTGGGGGAACGCATGGTCCGATAGCTTGGCAGAGCTCTTGCCACAACGCTCGGCCACATGGGCGATTTCAAAAGGCAGGGGGCGGCGGTGATTCACCGTAGGCATCTTCGGTAACTACTCCCTGTCGCACCCCGAGACGTGTCGGTAGGGCGGGCGGGGCTTCATTGTCATGAAGCTGCAAATTTGAAAGAGCTTCACGGGAGGAGGGTGGGTCGTTTTCAAACTGTGACCCTCGCATACGCGCAGCGCACATTCGTTCTAGAAGTTTACAGAAGCTTCACAGAATGAGGGCGGGGCTCTCACTTGGGCGCCGCGCACATTTGTCATAAACTTTGCCGGAAACTCGCCGATGAAGGACGGATTCTTTTCAATCCGTGGCTCTCGCTTTAGCGCCGCGCACATTCGCCTCGAAGGCTTGCAAGAGCTTCACGGGTGAGGGCGGGCTGGACGTGTTCAACATGTGGTGTTCGCTTTGGCGCCGCGCACGTTCGTCTAAAAAGTTCGCACGAGCTTCACGGGTAGAGGGAGGGTCGTCTCCAAAATGTCACCCTCGCTTTAGCTCCGCGTACATTCGTCTTGGGAGCGTGCAAGAGCTTCACGGATGAAAAGCGGCTGGTGTTCAATGTGTGGCTCCCGCCGCAGCGCCGCGCACACTCGTCGTAAGGTGCGCAGGAGCTTCCCGGACGGAGGCGGCTCCACTTCAAAGCGTGGCTCTCGCCTTCGCGCCGCACGAAGTCGCTCTGAGCGTTTGCAAGAGCGTCAAGGATGGAGGACGGGTGGCTTTCAAACTGCTGTTCTCGCCTTGGCGCCGCGCACAGCTGTCTTAAAATTGTACAGCAGCTCGACGGGCTCGCATAGCCGACGTCCCAAGAGCAGCGTCCTAGCACGATTCAGGACTGTCAGGCGGCATCAGTCGTGTTGAATAGCGGTGTTGAAGGCCCAGGAACGGTGCTCTGGCATGATTCAGGACCGTTCGGACGCAACGGCAAAACTGATTCGCGGCTTTGAAGTCCAAAGAGTGGTGCTTCATCATAATTACAGGTTCTCAAACGATTGTCTTCCAGCGGGGCACTTCCAGCGCAGTGGGAATATATTCTTCGAGACCTATGAAGAGTAAACTTGGAGGGAGGATGACTTACAACCTCGGCTTGGGTTTACACTGGCCCTCCTCCTCCTCATTATCCTCCTCATCCTCCTCCTCTTACCTCCTCCCCCTCCTTCGTCGTGCTCCACCTCCTCCCTCCTCCCCTTCCTGCTACCCTATCGTCCTCCAACTCCTCCTTCTGCTCCTCCTCCTCCTCATCATCAACTCATCTTTCCCTTCTCATCGTGTTCCCTTCCCGTCGTCTCCTCCTTCTCTTCGTCGTCCTCCTCCTATTCCTCCACATCCTCTCCCCCTTCCCGTCCCCTTCCCATCCCTTTCCCCTTCACGGTTCCCTTCCTCCTTCCCCTACACCTCACCAGTCCCCCCACCCTTTCTCTCAATCCTCCCCTCTCGCCGTCCCATTCACCCGTCCCGCCTCCCAACCCCATCCGACTCCCCGTCTTCTTACATTTGTTTGCTCCTCTTCCTCCTATTCCTCGGCAGGAGGGGGGGGAAACAAAGATAAAGAGGAAGGAGGAGGGCGAGGAGAGACGTAGGGAAGGAAGGAAAGGGTAGAGGGACAAAAGGATTCGGAAGAGGAGGCCGAGAAGGGGGTACCTGTGATGATAGAGGAGGAGATGCGTCCACGGCGCAAGAGGTACTGTGTACACCTGTGGGCATCCTGCTTTGAAGTCCAACAAGCAAACACTGGAGAGATGCGTCCTTGTCATGCCGGAGAACGTAGAAGGAGTCTGCGCACACGAGGACAACGTTCAAGCCGTCCTCCGACCAAATAACCAGCTTGGGGACCACGTCGATTCGTCGCACCAGCCGGTACTCCGCCCAATCGTAGAAACAGACGAAGTCGCCTCCGCGAACACCAATGAGGCGCCCTCCAAAGATCTCATCGACTACGAATGGCGGCTTGAAGGAGAAGCTTTCCTTGAAATCCTGTGACGGGGAGATCGAGAACTAAAGAGAGAGAGAGAGGGTGGAGGTTGAGCAGAGGCAGTAGGGAATAAGAGAAAGAAGAGGAGGAGCAGGGGGAGAGGAGGACGAGGAGGAGCGGGAGTTCGAAATCCTGGAAAACCGTAATCTTGCCGACGGTGTCGCGCGTTGCGTACGCTCCTGAGTAACCCCACACAAACTCCAAGGCCTGGCCGAATGACTTGTTCCGCAGAACCTGTGCGGTGTAGATCATGAACTCACCATCGCCGCACACAGCGAAGAAGCGACCGTTGGGGTGGTGAGCAAGGCTCTGCGGGAAGATCTCGGCCGCGCCCATGTCCTTCACGCGAAGCGGAGAGGGGGTGGGGGGCAACCGCTACCCGTCGACCTCATCATCCTCTTCCTCCTTATCGTCCTCCTCCTCCTCATCAGCATCATCAGCATCAGCATGAGCATCATCATCATCATCAGCAGCATCCTCATCATGATCATCATCATCATCATCAGCATCATCATCATCAGCAGCAGCATCATCAGCAGCAGCATCATCAGCATCATCATCATCCTCATCCTCTTCATCCTCCTCCTCCTCCTCCACCTCCTCCTCCTGCTCCTCCCTCCTCATCCTCCTCCTCCTCCGCCTCCTCCTCCTCCTCCGCCTCCTCCCTCCTCCTCCTCCTCCTTTTCCTCCTCCTCCTCTTCCTCCTCCATTCCTTCTCCTTATAGATAACTCATCCCTGTCGCACCCTGAGGCCAGTTTGCAGGGCGGGCTGGGCGTTTCGCCTGAGACTTCCTCACCATTCATGGCTCTGACGCTTACAAAGTGGCAACAGCTTCACAGAGGGAGTGCGGGTCGTTTTCAAAATGTGGTTCTCGCCTTAGCGCCGCGCACATTCGTTCCAAAAATTTGCAAGAGATTTACGGATTGAGAGCGGGTCAATTTCAAAATGGGGCTCTACCCTTAGCGCCGCGCATATTCGTTCTCAGAATTTGCAAGAGTTTCACGGATTAAGGGCGGGTCGTTTTCAAAATGTAGCCCTCGCCTTAGCGCCGCGCACATTCGCTTCAAAAAGCTGCAAACGCTTCACGGATTGAGGGCGGGTCGTTTTCAAAATGTGGCTCTCGCCTTAGCGCCGCGCAGATTCGCTTTAAACTGTTGCATCAGCTTCACGGATTGAGGGCGGGTCGTTTTCAAAATGTGGCTCTCGCCTTCATTCGTTTAAACAATTGTAGGAGCTTCACGGGTTGAGGGCGGCTCCTTTTCAAAATGTGGCTCCCACCTAAGCGCCGCGCACATTCGTATGCAACAGCTTCACTAGTCCCAGGATCAACGTACCAGAAATCGCGTGTTGGAAAGATTCGGGACTATGCGGGTGCAACAGTTGTGTTGATGCGCTGCATTGAAATCCCACAAATGGCGCCCTAACACGAGTCCAGATCGTCAAGACGCAGCAGTCAGGTTGATACGTGGGGCTGGAATTCCGAGAACGATGTTTTGGCATGCTTCAGGGTCTTCAAACGGTTGTCTTCCAACGAGGCAGTTCCCTCAATGAAAATGAACCGTTGTGGGGGCATATAAAGAGGCGCTTGGAGGGAGGGTGAATTCCAACATCGTTGATGGTTCTTGGTTTTACAATGGGCCTCCTCCTCCTCCTCCTCCTCCTCCTCCTCCTCCTCCCTCCGCCCTCCTCCTCCTCCTCCCTCCTCCTCCTCCTCCTCCTCCTCCTCTTCCTCCTCTTCCTCCTCCTCCTCCTCGTCCTCATCCTCCTCCTCCTCCGTTTCCTCCTCACCATCATCATCAGCTGTCTCCTCCCCCTCCCCCTCCTCATCCTCATCCTCCTCTTCTTCGTGTTCGTGCCCCCCTCATTATTGGAACCATTATAGCTAGTGGTAGTATTATCAGTATGACAAGTATGTGTCTCATGGTTATTATTGGTAATAGTAGTCCTATTCTTCTTAGTATTAATGGTATTAGTAGTGCCATCATGCATAGTATTACTACGTTTTATAAGTAGTACTACTACTATCAATATAGATGATAGCGTTAGTATTCGTATTGGTCTTATGTGTTGTTCTTCGTTTATCAGCGTTCGTCGTACTAGTATGCGTCTTCTTGTCACCAGTATTCGTATGTAGTCGTAGTAGTATTAGTTACATTGGCATTATGAATACCATTCCTCCTCCTCCTCCGCCTCCTCCTCGTCATCCTACAACTCATCCTCCGTCTCCTCCGCCTCCCCATAATCCTGCTCGTCTTCCTCCTCATCATCCTCCTCCTCATGTCCCTGCTCCTCGTCATCCTCCTCCTCCTGCTCCTGCTCATCATCATCATCCTCATCCGCATACTCCTCCTCATCCTCCTCCTCGTCCTCCTCCTCCTCCGCCCCCTCCTCCTCCTCCTCATCCCCCTCCTCATCATCATCAGCATCAGCAGCATCATCAGCATCATCAGCACCATCAGCATCATCAGCATCAGCATCATCATCATCATCATCATCATCAGCATCATCATCATCATCATAATCAGCATCAGCATCAGCATCAGCATCATCAGCATCATCAGCATCAGCACCATCAGCATCATCACCACCACTATGATCATCATGATCATCATGATCAGCATGATCATCATCATCATCAGCATCATCATCATCATCATCACCACCACCACCACCACCACCACCATCATCATCATCATCATCATCATCATGATCATCATCATCATCATCATCATCATCATCATCATCATCATCATCATCATCATCGGCGTCAGCATCAGCATCAGCATCATCATCATCATCATCATCATCATCATCATCAGCATCATCATCATCATCATCATCATCATCATCATCATCATCATCATCATCATCATCATCATCATCATCATCATCATCATCATCATCTTCCCACTCTCCCACGTCTCCTCATTACACTCCCTCACTCCTCCTCCGCCTCGTCCTCCTCCTCATCTTCCAACGCCGCATCCTCCCCCTCCTCCTCCTCCTCCTCCTCCTCCTCCGCCTCCGCCTCCTCCTCCTCCTCATCATCCGCCTCCTCCTCCTCCTCATCCTCCCCATACTCCTCCTCGTGCTCCTCATCATCATCCCCATCCTCCCCATGCTCATCCTCCTCCTCATCCTCCTCATGATCCTCCTCCTCATCCGCCTCTTCCTCTTCCTCCTCCTCATCACCCTCCTCCTCCTCCTCCTCCTCCTCCTCATCCTCCGCCTCGTCAGCAGCATCATCATCATCATCATCATCATCATCATCATCATCATCATCATCATCATCATCATCATCATCATCATCATCATCATCATCATCAGCATCATCATCATCATCATCATCATCACCATCATCATCATCATCAGCATCAGCATCAGCATCATCATCATCATCATCATCATCATCATCATCATCAGCATCAGCATCAGCATCGTCAGCTTCATCATCATCAGCAGCAGCAGCATCAGCATCAGCATCAGAATCATCAGCATCATCAGCATCATCATCATCATCATCATCACCACCACCACCACCACCACCACCACCACCATCATCATCATCATCATCGTCATCATCATCATCGTCAGCATCAGCATCATCGTCATCATCATCGTCAGCAGCAGTATCAGCATCATCATCATCAGCATCATAATCATCGGCGTCAGCATCAGCATCAGCATCATCATCAGCATGATCATCATCGTCATCAGCATAATCATAATCATCATCATCCTGATCCTCCTCCTCCTCCTCCCACTCTCCCACATCTCCTCAGTACACTCTCTCACTCCTCCTCCGCCTCCTCCTCCTCATCTTCCTGCGCCGCCTCCTCCTCCTCCTGCTCCTCTTCCTCCTCCTCCTGCTCCTCTTCCTCTTCCTCATCCGCCTCCTCCTCGTCATCCTCATCCTCATCCTCAACTCTGTCATCCTCTCCCCCTCCTCCTCCGCCTCATCTTCGTCCTCCTCATCCTCCTCCGCCTCATCATTCTCCTCCTCCTCCTCCTCCTCGTCCTCCTTCTGCTCCTCCTCATCCTCCTCCTCCCCCTCCTCCTAGTACCCCTCCCCCATCCACCTCCTCCACCTCCTCCTCTCATCCTCCTCATGCTCCTCCTCTTCCTCATCGCCATCACCCAACATCAACATCAACTGCATCATCAGCAGCATCATCCTCCTCCTCCGCATCATCATCATCAGCATCATCATCATCAGCATCATCATCATCATCATCATCATCATCATCATCATCATCATCATCATCATCATCATCATCATCATTGTCATCAGCATCATCATCATCATCATCATCATCATCATCATCATCATCATCATCATCATCATCAGCATCATCATCATCATCATCATCGGCATCATCATCATCATCATCATCAACATCACCATCATCCTCATCATCATCATCATCATCGTCATCATCATCAATCATCATCATCATCAGCATCATCATCATCATCATCATCCTCATCCTCATCATAATCGTCATCAGCAGCAGCAGCATCGTCATCAGCATCATCATCATCAGCATCATCATCAACATCATCAGCATCATCAACAACATCATCATCATCATTATCAGCATCAGCATCAGCATCATCATCATCATCATCAGCATCATCATCATCAGCATCATCATCATCATCATCATCATCAGCATCATCATCGTCATCGTCAGCATCATCAGCCTCATCAGCAGCAGCAGTATCATCATCAGCAGCAGCATCATCAGCATCATCATCATCAGCAGCAGCATCATCACCATCAGCATCAGCATCATCATCATCAGCATCAGCATCAGCAGCATCATCATCATCATCATCAGCAGCAGCATCATCACCACCACCACCACCACCAGTTGCATCATCATCATCATCATCAGCATCATCATCATCATCAGCAGCAGCATGATCATCAGCATCATCATCAGCATCATCGTCATCATCATCGTCATCATCATCATCATCAGCAGCAGCATCAGCAGCAGCAGCATCATCAGCACCAGCATCGTCGTATTCGTCATCATCAGCATCATCATCATTGTCATCAACAGCAGCATCAGCATCGGCTTCGGCATCACCATCATCATCAGCATCATCCTCAGCATCGGGATCAGCATCATCATGATCATCATCAGCATAAGCGGCAGTAGCATCATCGGCATAAACATCATAATCAGCATCATCAGCATCATCAGCATCGTCAGCATCGTCATCATCAACAGCATCATCAGCAGCATCATCAGCAGCCACAGCATAGTCATCATCATCAGCAACAACATCAGCATCATCATCAGTCGCAGCAGCATCAGTATCGACA